TCTGCATCGGGACCATGTGCCGAATTCATGTTGTGCAAGCTCGCGCCACCGGGCACGAATCCCGTGGCTTTGGCATCATAGACGCCCACAATGTTGCCCATGAATTCGGACATGCAGTTGCGGTGAAAGTAGGGCGGCCGGAAGGTGTCATCTGCCACAAGCCATCGCGGTGGGAAGATGACAAAATCGCACACGGCCGTGCCGTGCGTATCGGTAGGGCAAGTGAGCACGGTGAAGATGCTCGGGTCCGGATGGTCGTAGGAAATCGAGCCGATCGTGTTGAACTTGGTCAGGTCGTATCGGTAGGGGATGTAGTTGCCCGAGAAGGCGACCACATCGTAAGGCGAATGCGACTGGTTGTAGCAGAAGAATCGACCCATGAACTTGTTGATCACGGTCCAGTCGTCCGATGCGTCTTCGTACAGCGCCGTGGGCGTCTCAAAGTCTTCCGGATTGGCCAGACCATTGGCACCGATGGGTCCGAGGTCGGGAAGCTCAAAGTGGCCCTTGAACGTCTCGCAGATGTAGCCGAATGCAGGCTTGGATGCGGACACGTCGTCGGCAGGGTCAAAGTCGACCGAGAACTTGATGCCACGCTGCACGACGGCGATGTGGAGCGGCGGAACGTGGAGCAGGCCGAACTCGGTGCGGAGGAGCAGCGGCACGCGCTGCGGCACGATGAGCAGGTCGCCGTCGGAGTTGTAGAAGCTTCGACGACCCATCGACTTGGAGGCAGTGTAGGTGTGGATGGCAATGCCGTTCTTGAGCTGCGTGTCGCCAGCGCCGGCGAGTGTGACCATGCCGTCAACAAAGTCGACGTCCGCGCCTACATTCTCCACGAGCGGATCCCAGCGGAGCTGCTGCGGCGTGGCATGGATGCCAGGCGAGTGTGCGTGGAATGAGCCCAGCACACGATTCTGTTCGTAGCTGCGAAAGGGTTGGTGGTTGACCGAGGGGCGGATGCGGTAGAGCCAGGCTCGCTGGTTCTTAGCTCTGGGCGCAGTGAAGGCAGTGCCGCTGAGCTGCTCGGCGTAGAGGCCGTGGTTGACCTTTTGGGGCGAGTGCCCGAACTTGGGCAGCGTGTCTGGCCTTGCCTCGGAGGTGAAGTGGTTGCCAAAGCCTCTCTGATACTTGATCTGCGACATGGTTCGATTCCTTGAGCTTGGTGGGTAAGAGGAAGCAGCAGCTGATGAGCGATCGCGGGCTCGTCTTCAAATAGTCACCGGAGCCTGTCATGCGTTGCAGCACACTTCGAGTCGAGGACCCTGCAGAGGTAACTCTCCTGACGTGCGAACGAGCCAGGCTGAAAGAGGCTAAAAGTAGGCGCCGACGCCGACTCCATGTCGCACAACAGCGCTTCCCCGCGTGTGGCGTGTGGAGGCGATTCTTCCGACGGCTAAACCCCCTTCCTTCTTTTCCGCGTCGAAGCGTCGCACAGCGATGACGGTTCTTCCGTGCCGACCAAATCGCCGTCCATCGGCCCGGCCGAGCAGCGATCGGCGATTTGACCCCTCACATCGGGAATTCCCCCCCTTGTGCTCTCTCTCCCTCCCTCCTCTTCTCTGCGGTCAGCAGCTTTAAGGGGATCCGCAGTGTCGGTCATCTTCTTGACCACCTGTGTCGATACCAAGGACACTACCGAGCTTCTTCGCCTTCGAGGCGCGATGATGTCGGCTCGCTTTTTAGCGCCTTTCCACCAATGGCCAAAGATTTCCAGCCGAGCTCGCTTGTGACTCCAATACCCCACAGTCGCCGACGGACCCCACACTGCCTTGTCGACCAAGCCACTTGGTGGAGCCAAGGGACAGTGTCGAGATTTCCGAACTCCGTTGCTGCCAAACAACGCTGTGCTTGGTCGTCGAGATGGCCGACGAGGTCCGCAATTGGACATGCTACCCACTTGGCTGAACCACCAGACGTGGGGACTATGCGTGTCCCACTCGGATCTGCAGGTGGGATCCGCAAAGAGATCTCCGAGAATGGCATCATTCTGCTGTCTCTCGTATGACATGCTTCGCAGATGAAGCTCATCTCGAGCGTGCTCAAGGGCATAAAAGGGGAGATGAGGTTGGGATAGAGCTTTGGTCGGCTCACAACGAACATTGCCACCTCCGAACAGTCCAAGCTTGAATACCTCCGCCTTCAAGATGCTGAGCGTGCAAGTCAAGCTATTGTTGCTGGTCCAGCTGTGTCTGGCCGCCTTTGTCGCCTCTCGCCCCGTCTCCTCCGAGCCTTCGCTTCTGAAGCGCGCGTCGGACAAGGTGGGGTATCTGTTCATCCACTTCTACGACGACTACAAGGAGCCAGGAGTCTACACCACCTACCCCGCAGGCGAGCAGGTGTTTGGTCATCTGTCCAACGGCAACGATGCGCTGTCGTACAAGGCGCTCAAAGGCGGTGCGCCGCTGCTCACCTCGACCGTCGGCACCAAGGGCGTGCGCGACATGTATCTGGTGAGCAAGGGTGACGAATCGCAGCACTACATCATTGCTACCGACCTCAACCAGACTGCCGTGGGTGGCTTCAGCAGCCCATTCCTCAGCCGCAGCCTTGTCATTTGGGAATCCGAGGGCGCGAGTCTGACAAAGTGGAAGCCTTCCAGGCTGGTTGAGGTGGTGCCCGACACCTTCCGCATGGCTTGGGCACCCGAAGCGATTTGGCTGGACGACGAACAGCGTTTCCTGGTGTACTGGTCGTCGAACAAGTATGCGGACGCTTCGCACTCGGGTACGCCCGACTACGACAAGATCTACTCGTCCTACACCACCGACTTCGTCACCTTTACCGATCCCGAGGTGTTTATGGATCTGGGCAACAATGTGGGTGTGATCGACCTCACCATCGGTCGAGGACCTACGTCGGGCACCAACCAGTACGTGCGCTTCTTCAAGGACGAGAGCGTGTACAAGGTGCGCGGCCAGGTGAGCAACTCGGGCATTCAGGGGCCTTGGGTCGACATTGGCTCCGCCACCGAGTATGTCGACAACAACAACCAAGCCGAAGCCCCGATCTACTTCCAGGAGAACACGAGCAACAGGTGGTTTGTGTTTTTGGACCAGTATGGTCGCTCGCCCGCGGGCTACTATCCCTACAGCGCCGACAACGGCATCGACCAGTACGGCTACACCGATCTCGGCTTCCCGTCGGGCATGCCTACACAGCTCAAGCACGGCAGCATCAAGCCACTCACCCAGTCCCAGTACGACGAGATCAACGCCGCCTGGGCGTAGTCGTACCGGCCAACAGGATCCACTGCGCGAATAACTGGCCTTGAGCGCGGGCATTGGTTTTGTG